AAAAAAAATTCATGAGCTATAGTCCATTGTTTGACTGGATGGTCAGGGATTTTAAAGAAATTTGATTGGAAAATTGGTTACAAAACTCTTTGGGGAAGCAGCATGTGGATAGATTTCTTTGGGCAAAAAAGTGAATGTATTTATCTCATGTGACTGCTTACCAAAGTGTGACCCCAGCAGAGGAGGATTTAACAGTCAGGTGGATAGGATGACTCACTCCATGGATACCAGCCAACCTCTTTCCTCAGTCACCCATGCCATCACCCAGTAGGCCCATGAACAAAGTGGTCATCATGACAGAGATGAAGATTATGCTGTTTTCCCAGGTGCATTAACAGGGAGCTGGATGGGAAGTGGATAAGATGGGACTTGAACTGGTGCCTGGATGGAATACCAGCAGTGCAGGTGGTAGCTTTATCCTCTACGCTACAGCACCTGTGATGGTTAATTTTAGACATAAACTTGACTAGGCTAAGGGTTGTCCAAATGGCTGATGAAACATTATTTGAGAGTGTATTCGTGGAGTATTTTTTGAAATAGATGAGTATTTGAATTGGTAGAATGAGTAAAACAAAAAAATCACTAATCAATCTTTTAATTTAATCAATCATCTAATCTACTGAGGGCTCGAGTAAAACACAAAGGCAGAGGAAGGGTCCATTTGCTCTCTCTGAGCTGGGACATGTTTTCTCCAGTCTTCAGACATCAGTGCTCCTGGTTCTCAGACCGTGGCTGGGACTAAGAACTTCACCAGCCTCCAAGTGCTCAGACATTCGGGTTTGGACTGAAACTACACCTTCAGCTTTCCTAGGCCTCTCCATGGCAGATGCAAAGGAAAGGGTTTCTCAGTTTTCCTGGTTGCACCAGCAAGTCCTTCATATTACATCTCTTTCTATGTAGTTATATAAATATCCTATTGATTCTATTTCTCAGGACAGTCCTGTCTAATACAGTATCTAACGCAGTATTGCTAGTCAATGGTCAAGGCAGACTGCAGATGCAGGCGCTTCATGCCTAGACTCAAAGGATAAGTAGGAGGAGACCAGAGGATCATGGAGAGAGGAGGACCCAGTGATCCAGGGAAGGAGCTAGCACGTCCTAAGATTTTGTATGTCATGACTCCTGCTTACCCTAAATTCTATGCAAAGGAAGTTGGACTTTATTCTGAGAGCAGTGGGGATGAGCAGCTTAATATGTTATCCCTCTTAGTATTTTTTTTGTTTATTCTACTTAATACTTTTGGTTGAATACTGTAATCAATACACAATTCTTCTTAAGTGCTGAAACAACTGAAAAGTGACAGCTGTTAAATATAAGAGTGGGAATAAGAGAGGGAAGAGATGTGCAATTCTGGACATGCTCAAGCTGACTTACCTCAAACGGTAGAGTTAGAAACATACCAGGGGATTCCAATTCAATCCCATCGAGGTGGCATGTACCAATGCCATCTCACTAGTCCCAGTGATCAATTTCTGTTCACAATTGATCGTAATGATAGGACCAAGAACCAAAGGGATCACATAAACAAGAATAGTGTCTGCAAATACTAGCTGATAGAATAAAAAGGGAGAGAATGGTCCAACATGGGAAGTGAGATACACAGCAGACCCATAGAATGGCAAATGTCCTAACAGCACTCTGGCCTCATAATCAGCCCTTAAGGCATGCGGATCTGGCTGAAATGCCCATGAAAGTATTTCAGGCATGGAAAGCCAAGACACTCTGGGGAAAAAAAAAAAAAAAAAAAAAAACTAAATGAAAGATCTCCGTGAGTGAGATCCCAGTGGAAAGAATGGGTCATCAAAGAAGGAGGTACCTTTCTCTGAAGGGAGGAGAGAACTTCCACTTTGACCATGGCCTGTCTAAAAATTATCAGAGTCGGTGAACCCAGGGGGCTTCCATAGCCTTGGCAGCTCATGACAAGAGCCTAGGGTGATTACTGATGCCATAAACAAGAGTGTCAATTTGTTAAGTCAACAACAGGAGTCACTGTGCACTTACTCCTCATGTAGGATCTTTGTCCTTAGTGTGCTGTACATTGAGATTAATGCTATAACTAGTACTCAAACAGTATTTTTCACTTTATGTTTCTGTGTGGGAGCAAATTGTTGAAATCTTTACTTAATGTATGCTAAACTGATCTTCTGTATATAAAGAGAATCGAAAATGAATCTTGACATGAATGGAAGGGGAGAGGGAGTGGATAAGGGGAGGGTTGCGGGTTGGAGGGATGTTATGGGGGGGAAGTCATTGTAATCAATATTCTGTACTTTGGAAATTTATATTCATTAAATAAAAGTTAAAAATAAATAAATAAATAAATAAATAAATATAAGTGTAACATGGCCAGATTTACAACCTGATTTTCAAAGTATGTGTTCAATTTAATGAGCTCTTCCTATAAGCAAAAGCTCCTCCATAGTGCTTTGGGAAAAATTAGAATGGTCTATGAAAAAAATTTTTTTTCAGATTTATTTATTTTGAAAGTCAGAGTTACACAGAGAGAGGAGAGGCAGAGAGAGAGAGGTCTCCATCTGCTGGTTCACTCCCCAGTTGGCTGCAACGGCCGGAGCTGCGCCAATCTGAAGCCAGGAGTTTCTTCTGGGTCTCCCACGCGGGTGCAGGGACCCAAGCACTTGGGCCATCTTCTACTGCTTTCTCAGGCCACAGTAGAGAGCTGGATCGGAAGAGGAGCAGCCAGGTCTCAAACTGGTGCCCATATGGGATGCCAGCGCTTCAGGCCAGGGCGTTAGCCCACTGCGCCACAGCGCCAGCCCCTATGAAAAAAAATTTTTTTTAAAGATTTTACTTATTTGACAGGTAGAGTTACAGGCAGAGAGAGAGAGAGAGACAGAGAGAACGGTCTTCCTTCCGTTGGTTGACTCCCCAAATGGTTGCAATGGCCAAAACTGTGCTAATCCAAAGCCAGGAGCCAGGAGCTTTCTCTGGGTCTCCCATGTAGGTGCAGGGACTCAAGCACTTGGGCCATCCTCCACTGCTATCCCAGGCCACAGCTGAGAGCTGGACTGGAAGAGGAGCAACCAGGACTAGAACCTGGCGCCCATATGGGATGCTGGTACCGCAAGCGTAGGATTAACCTAGTGAGCCACAGCACCAGCCCCCCCCCTCCAAATTTTTTAAAACTATATTGTTAACCTATGTTTTTAAGTATGAGTAGTATCTAAAGAGTTTTGTTTTCCTGAAGTCTATCACAATATGTTTATATTGGATGCTAAAGAAAAAAGTATTCAGTGACTTACTGAGAAGGGAAAGAAAAACATTCACAACTTACAACATTGAAAGACTTTGTTGTTGCTTCATAAACATGCAGCAGAAGCAACTTAGCATGTATTCTGAAAACACATTTGATTTTGTTACTAGAATTTTTGAAGAGGCACTGTTCTTTATGAGTTCCTGCCCAGCCTGTTGCTGGTAATCACCGCCTTCAGTTGACGTGTGAAGAGTAACCCCACACTACACTCTTCCATGTGTCCAGTGGTGTCCTTAGTGTCCTGTACTGGCTTCAGCGAAAACTTTCTAGGCAGATGATCCTTTTTCTCATGTTGCATAGTACCAGGTCATTTTTGGGATTTCCTATCAGAAAGTTGGGAATTATAGGGAGATTAAAATCATTCTTAAAAGATTTATGGTGCTTGGGATTAGATTTTTGCATTCTTGAATGGATCTATCTGTTCAAAGTTTGTCAAATTCACAACAGGTCTTTTGATTTTGCAAGTGATAGTTTTTTTATCTTGCATCTCCTGAAGAAATTTTTTTACTGTATTTCAGTAAAATTTCATAAATATATTGAGTTCTCTCTCTCTCTCCTTTCTCTCTCCCTCTCTCTCCTTTCTCTTTCTCTCTCTCTCCTTCCCTCCCTCCCTCCCTCAGTGATTACATACATAAACTGTAGAGCCAGAAAATTTGGGTCCAAGTCAAGCACTGCACCCACCTAGATTTGTGACTTTAGGTAAGCTTTTCACCTCTTCTTGTCTTGGTTTTTTCATTTGTTGATGGAGGGAATGCTCTTCCTCATAGCACTGTAGTGAGTTACTACAGGTAAAGCCTGCATAAAAATGCCCATGTGGAGTGAACACTTCAAAAATTGTCTCACAATGCTTTGGAGAAAAGTCAGCAGGTGGGCATTTGGAGAGTGAACCAGCAGATGGAGTCAGTCTCTCTCTCTCTCTCTCTCTCTCTCTCTCTCTCTCTATATATATATATATATCTACCCCCCAATTCTGCCTTTCAAATAAATAAAGGAATATAAATAAATGAATAAATCTTTAGACAATTCCCTGAAATGGGTAAATGCAAACTCCAGAATTAATAACTACATTGGACAATTTATCACACCCTATTTTAACACTCTTTGATGGCTCATATCATCAACTGTGACTATATTTTAATAAATCAACAGCTGGTTTAATGTGCCCAATAGATTGTCAATTTTTTGTTTTATAATTTTTCTGCTAAAGTAGCAGGATTTTCTGTGTGCTTTTTAAGTCTTTTTTTTCCTTCAATGTTATTTTTCACAGTTCAGAAGCATGCTGCATTTAACTAACATGGCCTACAAATTGTAATATCTTAACTCATGGGAAAATATAAAACCAACTCAACAGTTAGAGATGCCACTGAATTAACAGAGTGGAACTGAGACCCAGAAACACAACCAACAGCCACAATGGTCTAAGCACAACTCCCTCAAAGGACCTTAATTAAGATACATTAGAATTCTGGATGCAGCTGATAGAAGTGAGCCAAGTCACCCTATCACTGTTGGATCCCTCACCCCTTAGTAGGACGTAACTGAAAACAGTCAACTTTTCTTTATTCCTTATAGAGGTTCCACATGTTTGGAACATAGCAACAGAGCTTAGGTAGGATAAACTAGGATTTGTGGATCATGTCCAAATAATGAAAAAAAGAAATATTTTTCATTTTTTTTGAAGATTGTGTACAAACACAATTGGAAGCATACTTTTTTTTTTTTTTTACAGATTTGAATTTTGGAAACAGAAGAGTTTAAATTGATGGCATTTCTACCTACTTCATTTATCAAATATTTATCAAGAAACTCTATGTCCCCAGCACAGTCTGGACATTTAAAACCAGCAGTGAAATAAGAATGGCTAATTCCCTGCTCTCTGACAGTACACGTTTCAGCAGAGGGAGACAGAGAGAAAACAGGTGAGTGAAGAGGTATCCTGCAACAGGTAGTGGTAAGTACGAAGGAGAAATACAGCCAGTGTCTGAGAGGGTGGGATGCAGTTTTAAGTAGAGTGGTTGGGGAAAGCCTCACCAAGAAGGCAGCCCTCTGCAAGACCTGCAGGAAGTGAGGTCCTTCCAAGGGAAGAGCATTTCAAAGAAACCAAGGGAAGCAAAACTCTGTGGTGGGACATGTGTGGCATGTGTGAGGAGCAGCGGCAAGGCCAATGTGGCTGGGGAAAGTGAGCAAGGGAGGGTGGAGCCGGATACGGCATCAGAGAGGCAAAGGGAGAGCACAGAAACCCTACAGGAGCTTGGGCTACCTCAAGGACTTTGGCCTTGACTCTGGCAGATGGGAAACGGCTGGGCAGTGTTGAGAAGGATGACATGATCTTGGCTTGCAAAGAGATCAGCATGGTCACTGTGCAAAGGCTGTTTCTGCAATTCAAGGACGAGATGACGATGGCCGTGACGATGTGAGGGGCAGCAATGAGGAGTGGGTGGAATCTGGATATTTGTCATGTGAAATCAACAAGATTTGCATATAGATGTGAGAGAGATGCAAGAGAATAATCAAAAATGACTCCAAGTGATTGGTCAGAGTGAGAGAAAGCCTGAAGTTACTGAGAGGCTCCGGGAGGCATTTCACACATTCAGCAATGGGTAATCAAATATGAGAAGCTTGCTTCTTGGCTATCTAAGCAGTAGTGGAGAGCAAACAATTTGCTTTAAGATTCATCTCTGTCCTCTGTAGATTCCTTGTACCTGCTTGCTTCTATAGCCGAGGCATTCTTCAACTGCTGTTTTAACCAAGCTTGACTGTGAACGTCTACAAGAGGTCTAGAACCTCAATACTACTTTTAGAAAAAGCAACCAAGTAACAATAAGAATATCCTTTCTGCTTCTAATATCTACAGAGAGTCCCAAAATAGAGCTAAATCTGTCTATAGTTGTGTGGCAGGTCACTGAAGGGCAGCGCATGGCAGGTTTCATTGCAGTTAGTTCTGAAACAGGTAGTGGCTTAAGTGTCTCCACGCTCTTTGGGTCTAAGTATAAACTGACACAAGGGAAAAACAACGATTCTTGCATCAGGTATGCCTTTATGTGCAAAACTACTTCAAAAAGCATGAATATCCAGATGACAACTGAACACTGAAAACCGTGGTAGTAACACCAAGAAATGACACATAGGTGAAAAGAAAGAAGTGTAGGCATGAATGTGGAGCAACAGACTAATGGGAAGAAGGAAATTTCAAGCAATGCAAAACTCACAGTTGAGGTTAAAAAGCCAGATGTCTGCTGGAAGAAGAGTAGGCAATATCAATGGGTAACTCCCGGGCAGCACACACACAATAACAGGAAGTGGTGGGGCCTGCGGTGTCCTGCAGGGCCGGGTGGGTTGGGGGTATGGGTGTGTGTAGGGTTGCGGAATAATGGAAAGTGGCCTGTGGCTGTAACATAGAACTGGGAGGGAATACAGTGTGGCCAGATTTTTGCCTTATTTCCAGGAAAGCCAGAAATCTGGATATTTACATGAAATGGTGGCATTTAGTTCACATTTTCGAAAAGTAGTGTGTAAGCCAAACAAAACCTATCTGTAGGCTGCTTTTGGTCTATATCTTCTAACTTTGCCATTTACAACCACTTTTAATCATTGACTAAAAGGAGCTATTATATTCCTATCTACTAGGACAATTATTTCTCTTACACAGAAAAAATTGTTTTTTTTATAGAGGACCTGAGGCTTCTGTTTGCGTAGAAAGTCAATGTTCTAATACAAAAGAATAAAATGACTATAAACTAAAAATAATTCCTTACATTTTTAGGTTTTATAAGAATGAAAGTTACCAATGTTTGTTATTGTTCTTGCATAAATCTCAATTGAAAGTTGAGTCTGCACTAAATAAGAATGATGCAGAATAAGGTAGAATTAGGCTCCGCTAATTTGACTTCATTTGACTAAGGCTGTTCATGAGGATCTTCCCTAGTAATTAAGTTTCTCAATGGTTCTATCTAGAAATCTTCACTGAAGCAGTAATGGCACTCGAAGGGATAGATTTGGTGGAACTCAATTCATTCTGATAGCCTAAGCTGACCCTTGAGCGCTGATTTAGGCTCAGTAATGTAAAGTGGCTTTGGGAAGGGCTCTGCCTCCCAGAGAACTTTCCTGTGAGTATCTTGCCCTGTGGGGGCTTTATTTCCACACATACCTGGAGACTTGTGGGAGGTGAAGTCTTCCTTTTTCTCTTCTGATATAACTGAGAGAACAGACATCCTCCAAGTGTGGATCCGTCTTGAAACTCAGACTCACCAATACCTTAGGTAGGAGAGTGAAGTTTTCCTAGCAGGGAAAGGTGCTGAGTGAGAAATACCCTAAAGTAATGGCAGAACTCCTGAAGTCTGGAAAGGGGAGGAGCTGGCAGGGTCAGGGTGTGTCAGTTCTGCCTAGAACAGGAATTCAGATAGAGCCTTCCAATCACTTTGGATAAACTCAGAAGGCAGCTGAGTGCGTTGTGGGATTTGATGTATAGTGGGTTGATGGGCTTATTGAGGACAGGGAGCTGGTTTTGAATGTCTTTTATGTTTTTGTTTTGTTTTTTTTTTTTTTTTTGCAATGCCAAGAAGAGGGTTAGGCACACATCTTAGATGGAGTCAATACTCAAATAAATGCAGTGTATTCAGTTGGGTTTGTGACCCCCAACATCAGACTACTGTATATTATTATTTGATGTTTCAAATTCATTTATGTTCTACAGTATTGAAAGGTTCACACATACATTTCTTGTCAACATCATTCAACAGGTCTCTACATTTTTTTTTCTAGATCTATCCTAGACACATTAAATACACAGATTAAATGCCAGCAAGTGTTCCTAGATGGCATTTTCAACAGAACTGAAATATGCCCCCTTAGAAGCAGCAAATCAGTTGTTTTAAATATTTTTATGCAAACATGTTTGAGATTCCTATATTACTTTTGCTTTTTTCTTAAATCAGAGCAAATGTAAAAGAGCAAAACTGAACTATTTGTAATCTCCGCAAGTGATCACTTACTGTTGTTGTGTTAACACCTTAAGGGTACTGAAGGATCTAGGACTTCTTGGTTAATGTTCTGTGGCTTGAAACAGCCACAACTGTGCCACGACTTTGATATCCCTTTCTTGCTCTGTTAATTTCTCTGTTTCCTGTGAATTAACAGTGGACCTTTTTCTACCATCCTCCCATCTCTGTTAATTTACTAATTCTAATAAGCAGTGGCTGGGGAAATGAGATTTTTGATTTTCCTGGAAGGGCTTATCGAACAATAATAACACAGACTTATTTGGCACTTTTTGCATGCTAGGCTCTGCCTGTGCGTTTTGAATAATCTTATGTACTTCTCATCTGAGGCCTATGGTGAATATACTATTCTCTGGTTGAGGAAGCTGAGACACAGAAAGGTTGAGCAACTTGCCCAAGATCAAACTATTAGTACGCAGCAGAGCCGCCACTTATACTCTGGCCATCTGACCTTGGTATTGTGCTATGGATTGTTTTTGAGCGAACGGACGATGAATCTTTTAACAGCATGCATGGATTGCAATGCATGGATTTTGTGACAATAATTGTGCTTATCTAGAAACCTTTAAAAAAAAAGTCTCTTCTGGTCCTTGACTGTATTCTGGATTGCCAATACTGCTATGTGAATGACCTCTGAAAAAGTCAGGCTTTCGGTACTTTACATGTAAGAAAGGCATTTACATTTTCCAGCTTAGTCTCTTCTCAAGATGAGTTTTAAAAGCTGAGTGTAGGTCTTGTTTTCATATTGTCCCAGCAGTGATGATTCAAAAGTTCATCAAGGTCTCTAGGGAGTTAAAAATTTATCAGCTGCTTGAAATGAAACTAGAAAATTACTTAGAATTTAGACAGATGAACAATGTTATTTAACTTCACCCCACTGCCATCCATGCATATTCCCAAATCCTTATAGGAAAATTTAATTACCAGGGAAAAGATGCCTGGAGAGCCGTGAAGGAAAAAGTGGGGTGGAAAAGCTTGGCTCACGGGGAAGCTGACCCATGGAGCTTGGCGATCTACTCCTCAATTCAGCACATCTCACTTGGAGAACCTTGGGGGCCATTTGCTGACGTAGGCTAAGAAGTCATAAGATTGAGGTTGAAAGCCACTGTGAAGATTGGGTCCTTCTCGCAAATAAGGAAGTGTCACAAGCCCTGCTGCAGGTGCTAGCGAGCTGTGTGTGTGCGCAGTGATTTCACCGTCACTTTGTAGGACCCTGCAGGGTGTTAGGATACCAGTGCTTCCCCACGACTTAACACAGAGCCCCTCTGGATACTTTTGCTGCCACTTACCTTCACGTGAAACTCTTTTTATTTAAATAAATAAAGAGAAGGATGCCTTTCTCTTTTTGCTGCCTTACCAGACTTGGTTATTCTTGTTAAATAACTGGGTTATGGTTGTTTAGTCATCTAATTGAGCCAATTGGATTCTCAACCCACAACAGCATTAGATAAAGGGGAATATTTATCAAAAATGCCTTGTTGACTTTTTAGTTTCAAGGAAGAAAGCTCACCGAGACCATGGTGTTGATACTTTGATGCTGCTCTCTAAGATCTGAAATATACAGTCATTTCTGGGCCTTGGGTAATCTTTCTCTCCCAAGTTAGATTCTTAGTCAACACTTCTGCTTACAAATATGATGGTTTTTGACTGAAGTATATTTAAAAATGTGTCATTTTAGTCCAGTTCACATTCTTGATAGAACACTGCTTTGCATAAATCCTCTAGGCCTTCACTGGTTGCACAGATGCTGTCTTAGTAGCTCAGTAGCTAAAGGAAGCAGTTCTGTTCAACAGATAGGCTCATCAGGGCCAAGCTGCAAAACAGCACCACGAAAACAGGGCTGCAGTCAAAGAGGAAGAGGCCCTAGCTCTGTGAGGGTTAAGCATGCTGAGCCCAGACTTCCATTGAAGGAACTCTTCCATCTTTCCACTCCCTAGCTGTTGAGAGGTGGTGTACAAGTACTACCTGAGAAGCTGAAGGTGCCACTGTGTGGTCCAGTGAAAATGTGTAGACAGAGAGTGGAAGGTCAGGGTCTGGCCTGCCTCCATATCCACACAGCGTATACGCAGTCTGTGCTGAGTGGGGAAGGGTAAGCTTGGGCATCAGAGTTCCCTGAACCCATCTCCATCCATTGCCAACTACTTAACAAGTGCCCTGACTATTCCGTCTCCTTGTCTCCGAAGTCAGGACAAATACCTGGGTTGTTGTGAGGACTCTAGGAGATGGTTCAGGCAGAACACTTAGCATAAGCCTGACTGAGCTCAGGAGTAAAGCAACAGGAGGAATTCTTTTCTCCAACACATACATTTATTATGTGAAAAGTTTGGCAGCTTCATCATTCCCTGGGAATGAGGCAATGGAGAAGGAATCGCAGGCATTGGCATGAGAGGAGACAGAAAGTGTACGGGATGCAACAGCTAGTGAGATGGAGAACACAGAGACAAAGAGGCAGAGAGAATGCGTAGCTGAGGCACGTTCCAGTGCAACAGTGTCGACTGTAAGACAGTAGTTTGACTCCAGCATCAGAGCTGTGTCTTTCTAGGATTTGTTTTCTAATGCAGGTCCTCACCTCATTACACATCATCATGGACCTCTTCTTCCTTATAAAGACTTCTAGAAAGTTTCTCCCATCTCCTCCTTTCTCATTCTTGCCCTTTCCTTACATCAATTTGTTGTCCCTCCCTCTCAGCAAGACCCCCACCGTGATTTACTGATCCTATCTTGTTTTCTTCAACCATCCCTCTTTTTAGCCTGCCAGTTACTTGATTTTTGCACCTCCCAGGTCATAAGGAAACTATTTTTGT